GAGTTTTTAGATGTTTTTCAAGTTTTAATTACATGATGTGTTGAGGTCTCCAAACAAGTGAATAGGTGTGGAAGTTCTTGGTTGGGTCGAACCAGAGATAAAACTGTTGCTCTCTGTTTCCTTTGCCTTGAGCAAAGACATTAGTGTGAAGAACATAAGGCTTCCCTGTCTCATTACCAAGAAACTCGAAGTCTATCTCGTCGTGTGTTGGTCCTTCCGATGACAACTGCAACATTTTGAATTCAATCTTGTTAATAAAAACCAAAGCATTTTAGTAAGTGCGTGTGAGAGTCTGAAGAAGAAAGCTTACGTAGTAGGCGGTGACGGTTCCGGCGGAGTTACCGGCGACGAGTTTAAGCTGCATATCGATTCTTCCGAATAGATATTCTTTCTTGGATTTAAAACCCGACCCGGAAACCCGGTCTAGTGAGAGTGAGAGCATCTTCCCTCCACCGAAGATTTGGCCTCTGTGTTCACCCCAAGTCAAGTCGAACTCGTCGTTGAAGCTACCGGAGTAAGCAGTTCCAACCATTGTCAGAACAAGAACGGTCACCAACACGGTGAGGTTTTTGAAGCTTCGACCCATTGGGGGGTTAAAATGTGGAAATGAAAGTTATGGGTTTTTTTTTCGTATGTTTTGTTTGTTCGAGGAGTTGTGATGTGAGATGGGTTTTCAAAAGAGGATAGGGTGTATATATAGGTGAAGCAGTCTTGGGAAGCCAACTACAGTTGTCTGTTTTTCCAATATTTTTTCAAAAAGTATAATTAAAATTGATAATCCTTAAACCACAAATTAAAAAAGAAAACAAAAAACACAGGAATTGTCAAACCCCAAATTAAAAAAGAAAACAAAAAAAACACAGGAATTGTCTTTTGGAGTTGACAAAAAATCATGTGGATAATTTAAACTCTATCTCATGATCATTAAAGATGTATGCAATTTGACAAATAAATCTCAATATAGATGACAACTCTAAAGTATAGTAGAGTTATTAGCAAATATAACAATAATGTAAATAAAAAGTTCTATCACACTTCTTTAAATGTTACGGAATGCATTGCTATTAAAAAATAAGCGACAAAGGTATTTTGTATGGTTTAACTTGTGTTGTGGTTAGTAGTAGTTTTGTTTTACTTTCTACATATATTAGTTGTGTTACATACAATAGATTTGATCTATAAGACTGTAAATAGTATTCAAATTTGAAAATTG